TTAGAGATAGATAGATATGAACATACACATGAATGTGTGAATAATTAGATATATATCATGTCGAATGGATCGATATGAACATAGATAGATAGATAGATAGATAGATAGATAGATAGATAGATAGATAGATAGATAGATTTAGATATAGATATGAACATACATATGAATGTGTGAATAGATAGATAGATAGATAGATAGATAGATAGATAGATAGATAGATAGATAGATAGATAGATATGGGGAAATAGATTTGTATCGAGAGACTGTTGTGAATAGACAGATACATGTGAAAAGACTGAGATAGATAGTTGTGAGTAGATATAGGTAAAAATGGGTACGTATTTGTGTGTACAGATTGATATGAATATAGAGATATAGAGATGGTGTTGTGTATAGATAGATATGAAGGAATATAGAATTGAGTCTTAATATTGGGCGTCCGCCGTATAGCAATCTGAGCGTTGACATAAAACTTCAAATCGCCGGAATGAACCAATATTTCATTTCACACGCACACTTGCACACACACACGCACACGCACAAAACACACACACACACACATATATATATATATATATATATATATATATATATATATATATATATATATATATATATATTATTATTATTATTATTATTATTATTATTATCCTATATATCTATCAATCTATATATATATATTTACTACTATCATTAGTATATATATATATATATATATATATATATATATATTATCATAAAAGAAATTTGAAGTAGTGATTTCTACTCGGAAATGACTGGTTAGGTCTGTTAAAACTAGATATATAGATATGAACATACTGAGATATATATATATATATAATATTATATTATTATTATCAAATATATATATATATATATATCATATATATATATATATATATATATATATATATATATATATATATATATATATATATATATATATATATATATATATATATATATATATATATATATTATATATATATATTCCTCGGAGAAAGAATTTTGAAATAGTGATTTCTACTCGGAAATGACTGGTTAGTCTGTTGAAACTAGGTATATAGATATGAACATACTGATATATATATATATATATATATATATATATATATATATATATATATATATATATATATATATATATCATTATATATATAATATTATTATTATTTTTATCAAATATATATATATATATATATATATTATTATCATATATATATATATATATATATATATATATATATATATATATATATATATATATTGCTCTGAGAAAGAATTTTGACGTCGTGATTTCTAGTGTTGTAGGAAATGACTGGTTAGTCTGGGTGAAACTAGATATATAGATATGAACATACTGATATATATATATATATATATATATAATTATTATCATATATATATATATATATATATTATTATCATATATATATATATATATATATATATATATATATTGCTCGGAGAAAAGAATTTTGACGTAGTGATTTCTAGTGTTGTTGGAAATTACTGGTTAGTCTTGTGAGACTAGATATATAGATATGAACATAATTATCTATATATATAAATATATATATATATATATTCCAAATCGTTCGGTTTCGATCTCGGATTGAAGCAATCGGATGTCTAGCCACACTGATGAGCTGTGATACAACGAAACAGTCTGTCTGTGGGTGACGATAGATAGATAGATAGATAGATAGATAGATAGATAGATAGATAGATAGATAGATAGATAGATAGGATAGATAGATAGATAGATAGATAGATAGATAGATAGATAGATAGATATTTAACGTGTAATTTAATTTCTTAATGTGTAAAATGCTTCCCTAAAGGAAAAGAAAGAAATGAGTCAAAAGAAAAGAAATTTAATGATTGGAATAAATGAATGATTAAAAACAAAAGCAATGTAGAAAGCCTTATAGAAAAGAAATCTGGAAAAGGAAAAACATTATAAAAGTATGTAAGAATGAAAACGAAAGACTGATGACGAAAGCAAAAGAATGAAAATTGGAAAATGAAAATGAAAGAAAGAAAAACTGACAACAGAAAACGAAATAATGGAAGCGGAAACGGAAGCAAGAAAAGCTGACCGCCAGAGATTAATTCAAATGGGGAGGGGAGATACAATTATAGACATAAAAGAAAGACAGAAAAAAATGAAACAGAAATAATTTTTAAAATAGAACGAATGGAGGAATGAAAAGAAAAGGTAAGAAAAAAAATGACAAAATCAAGGAACAGTAAGAAAGCAAATCGAATACAAAAATGATAGAAAAAAAAGCAAAGTAAAAACCAAAGAAGAAAAAAAAGCAATTGGAAAAGAAAGAAAGAAAGAAAGAAGTCGAAAATATAAGAAAAGACGAATATAAAAGAAAGAAAAGTTGAAAATAAAAGAAAGAAAGAGAGAAGTCGAAAGCAAAATAAAGAAAGAAAGAATTCAAGAATTCAAGAAAGAAAGAATTCAAGAATTCAAGAATTCAAGAAAGAAAGAAAGAAAGAAAGAAAGAAAGAAAGAAAGTCGAAAATATAAGAAAAGACGAAAATAAAAGAAAGAAAAGTTGAAAATAAAAGAAAGAAAGAGAGAAGGCGAAAGCAAAATAAAGAAAGAATTCAAGAAAGAAAGAAAGAAAGAAGTGAATTACAGCAAAATAAAAAAAAGAAAGATGAAAAGGAATAAAAAAAAAATCGGGAAGAGAAAAGAAAAGAGCGATGAATGCGAAAAGCAGAAACAAGACAGGAAAAGAGAAATGAAGATAAAGATATAAAGAAGGTTTGAAAAAGCAAGAGAAACGAACGTGAAATGAAGAAGGTTTGAAAAAGCAAGTCGAAAATGAACGACAAAGAAGAGGGAAGGCGAATGCAAATCAAAGAAAGAAAGAAAGCAGGAATGTGAAACGAAAAAAGAAAGATAGATTTCGAAAATAAAAGAAAGGAAGACGAAAAATGGAAAGAAAGAAAGAAGTTGAAAATAAAAGAAATGAAGAAGGAGAAAGCTAAATAAAAAAAGAGTGAATTTAAAATGAAATATTGTAGACGAAAATGAAAGAAAGAAGTCGAAAATGAAAAAGAAAGAAAGAAGTCGGGAATGAAAAAGAAAGAAAAAAGACGAAAATGAAAATAAAAAGAAAGAAAGTAGTCGAAAATGAAAAAGAAAGAAATCGAAAATAAAAAAAGAAAGAAAGAAGTCGGGAATGAAAAAGAAAGATAAAAGACGAAAATGAAAATGAAAAAGAAAGAAAAAAGACGAAAATGAAAAAGAAAGAAAGTGGTCAAAAATGAAAAAGAAAGAAAGAAGTCGGAAATGAAAAAGAAAGAAAAAAGACGAGAAAGAAAAAAGACGAAAATGAAAAAGAAAGAAAAAAGACGAAAATGAAAAAGAAAGAAAGAAATCGAAAATGAAAAAGAAAGAAAGTAGTCGGGAATGAAAAAGAAAGAAAAAAGATGAAAATGAAAAAGAAAGAAAAAAGATGAAAATGAAAAAGAAAGAAAAAAGACGAAAATGAAAAAGAAAGAAAGAAGTCGAAAATGAAAAAGAAAGAAAGAAGTCGGAAATGAAAAAGAAAGAAAGAAGTCGGAAATGAAAAAGAAAGAAAAAAGACGAAAATGAAAAAGAAAGAAAGAAATCGAAAATGAAAAAGAAAGAAAGAAATTGAAAATGCAAAAGAAAGTGGTTGGAAATGAAAAAGAAAGAAAGAAGCCAAAAATACAAGAAAGAAAGTCGAAAATATAAAAGAAATCGACCAAAAAGAAAGAAAGAAATCGAAAAAAAAAGAAAGGATGAGGGAAGGCGAAAGTAAAAGAAAGAAGTTGCAAATAAAAGAAATAAAGAAGGCGTAAGAAAAATAAAGGAAGGGTGAAGACGAAAAGAAAGAAAGTCAAAAATGCAAAAAAGTAATCGAAAATAAAAGAGAAAGAAAGGGAAAATACAAGAAAAGAAGTCGAAAATAAAAGAAAGAATTCGAAAAAAAGAAAAAGAAAGAAAGTCGTAAATAAAAAAGAAAGATAGAAGTCAAAAATGAAAAAGAAATCGAAAATAAAAAATAAAACCGAAAATACAAAAAAAGAAAGTCGAAAATTAAAGGAAGAATTCGAAAATAAAAGCAAAAAGAAAGAAAGAAAGAAGTCGAAAATGAAAAAAAAATGATGAGGGAAGTCAAAAGCAAAAGAAAACGAAGTCATAAAAGAAAGAAAGAAAGAAATAAAGAAGGGAGGGAAAAAGGAAGGAAGGAAGGAAGGAAGGAAGGAAGGAAGGAAGGAAGGAAGGAAGGAAGGAAGGAGGGGGAAAGATAGCAAAAGAAAGAATTAAATAATCCAGGACAAAAAGGGAGGAATGTCAAACGGACAGAAGAAAGAAAGAAAGAAAGAAAGAAAGAAAGAAAGAAAGAAAGAAAGAAAGAAGCGAGGGAGGAGGAAAGGTAGCGGAAAAAGAAGGAAGGAAGGAGGGGGAAAGATAGCAAAGAAAGAATTAAATAATCCAGGGCAAAAAAAGGAGGAATGTCAAACGGACAGAAGAAAGAAAGAAGGGAGGGAGGAGGGAAAAAGGGTGAAGGAAGGAAGGAAGGAAGGAAGGAAGGAAGGAAGGAAGGAAGGAAGGAAGGAAGGAAGGAGAGCGAGATAGCAAAAAAAAGAATTAAATAATCCCGGACAAAAAGGGAGAAATGTCAAACGGACAGAAGAAAGAAAGAAAGAAAGAAAGAAAGAAAGAAAGAAAGAAAGAAAGAAAGAAAGAAAGAAAGAAAGAAAGTCGAAAATATAAGAAAAGACGAAAATAAAAGAAAGAAATGTTGAAAATATGAGAAAGAAAGAGAGAAGGCGATAGCAAAATAAAGAAAGAAAAAAAGAAAGAAAGAAAGAAAGAAAGAAAGAAAGAAAGAAAGAAAGAATTCAAGAAAGAAAGAAAGAAAGAATTCAAGAAAGAAAGAATTCAAGAATTCAAGAAAGAAAGAATTCAAGAAAGAAAGAATTCAAGAATTCAAGAAAGAAAGAATTCAAGAAAGAAAGAAAGAAAGAAAGAAAGAATTCAAGAAAGAAGAAAGAAAGAAGTGAATTACAGCGGCCGGAGCTGAACATCACATGTTACAAGACAATTCCATATAAAATAGCTGATCACTCACAGTGTCCATCGGAATGCAAGCCAAACGATTTAAAGAGAAGGGAAGATAATGGATGAACAGGAGGCGGGGGGGGGTAGTGTATTGTGATGGTGTTGTGGTGGGGAGGGGCGGTCATGTTATGAATAATGAGCAGATGAAAGGTGTGAGGAGCGGGTCTCAAGATGGAAACGAAGAAAGACAAGCAAGAAAACCCAAGTGCAGGGACGGGTGGGATGACAAGAACGGTGATATAAAGAGGTGGAGCGGACTAAGGTTAATTGGTTTTGCTAATGAGAAAAATAATTAAAACACCGTAAAATGGAGAACTGTGTTTCGAAATGACAAGGAAAAAAGAGACGACTGTATATATATATATATATATATATATATATATATATATATATATATAGAGAGAGAGAGAGAGAGAGAGAGAGAGAGAGAGTTAGTTAAGTCAAATAGGAGACAGGAAGAAAGGTTCAACAGTGAATGAGTATTATAGCTATATACTAAATGGGTGTCTTACCGTGGAGCAGTGGCCGGCAGTCAATTCCAGTAGAGCAGATACTACTGCAGGGAGATTGGTGTTCACTGGGTGCTGCAAATCTGTAACCTTGTGCCGTACACAGCTTAGCTTAGTAAATGAATGCGGGAAAAAGATATGAATAGATTAACATAGATAGGAAAAGCACGGAAAGAAAGAGTGAGAGAGCGAGAGAGAGAGAGATGAATAGAGATGGAGTGGGGGGGAATAGAAATGGGAATTAATATATATATATATAAATATATATATATACATATATATATATATATATGTGTGTGTGTGTGTGTGTGTGTGTGTGTATTTAGGCAGCAATCATTCTTTTCATGCACATTTCATTGAAAACGACAGAGAAGGTGCTTTTATTAACTTTTGACAAAATACAGTGATAGAAGGTTATATATATATATATATATATATATATATATATATATATATATATATATAAAAATATATATATATATATATATATATATATATATATATATATATATATATATATATATATGTACAATTAGAAATATATATATATAATTAGAATATATATATATATATATATATTCTAATTCTAATTAAAATATATATATATATATAATTTAAAGAAAAATTTCATCCTTTTTGGGATTATCCATGCCTGGGTTTCACGCTTTAGCGATCGTCAGACAAACTGATTAATGTTTTTAAAAATTTGGGTTTATGTAGATTGCGTGTATTGGTGTTATTGTGGAAGTGGTGGGGGAAATGTCGTCGTTTTGTCATTCATCGTACTAACGCAAACAACGATGTATGCAGACACATATACATACTTGGTCGTCCGTCGAGGACTCATGCATATATAAACATATGTGGGCAGTTTCGGATATGACATATGTATGTATACGGGTGGTGTTATGTCTATACATACGCATTTGTATGTTGAAATGTTGAAATTTAAAAACATTAATCAGTTTGTCTGACGATCGCAAAAGCGTGAAACACAGGGTCACAAACTCACATCAATCCAACCAAATTTGTTAGCACTATCTCTGATATTGAACGCTTTCTAATAAGTACCGCGCATATAATATATAAATAATTATATATATATATATTTATTTATATTTATGTACCTTTTTCACATATAGATAGATAGATAGATAGATAGATAGATAGATAGATAGATAGATGAAGATGTGAATATATATATATGTGAATATATGTATATATGTGAATATATGTATATATATGTGTGTGTGAATATATATATGTGTGAGTGTGAAGAGATATATATATATATATATATATATATATATATATATATATATATATATATATATATGATGTAACGAAATATAATTTTGTGTAATTCTATATATTAAAAAAAGTATTTAGAAAAATATGACAAACAGGAAATTTCTCTTGACGCCAAAGAAATTTTCCAGTTTAACATATTTCTCACTATATCTATCTATAGATAGATAGATAGATAGATAGATAGATAGATAGATAGATAGATAGATAGATAGATAGATAGATAGATGTGAATATACAGATAGCTCGAGAGATGTTAATATATAGATATATGTTAATATACATAGATAGACCTTGATGTGAATATATATATATATATAGAGAGATGTAACTATATAACTATATGCATATATAGATAGCTGTCAATACATAAATAGATAGACAGCTGTGAATAGATAGATGCGTACATAGATTTGAATGGATAGATCGATATGAACATAGATAGATAGATAGATAGATAGATAGATAGATAGATAGATAGATAGATAGATAGATAGATACCTGTGAATAGATAGATAGATTTGAATATATAGATATATAGAAATGTGAATATATAGACAGAGGTGT